GTTGCAGCACACTATTTTGAGTATTTAACTGTATCAAGTCCTTACAACATTCCATCGGGGTAGGTACTATTATTCACATTGTCACATTGTACAAATAAGAAAATTGAAGTCTACTGAGATTTAAGTAATTTTTCCAAGGTTGTATAGTATTGCTGAACTGAATAGTATTGGATCCTGAAAGACTCAGAAGGATTGTTTTGTGCTAGATTTCATCTAACTGGCATTAAAAATTGACTGAAAATTAATTTTTTAATGACTAACCCTTTGCAGATGGCTGGCAGTATGAGCAGTATGTAGTATCATAGCAGGAACATCCTCATTTTGCCTTTTTTTGTGTTAAGTTCACAGAACCTCGTGATAACTCTCTTCATAGTATTTTTGTAATTTGATGCTTAAAGTATGTGTGTTTTATATGGTATGTGAGATAAGTAAATTGCAGTAGATTCGAATCAACAGGGAACCTTTTTTTCCCTAACTTGTAGGGGGAACAGGTTTGCTCCCAGTACAGAGAGTAATGTTCTTGATGAAATTCTTTGAACTTTGGGCTAGTGAAGAATCCTTGACCAGGACTGCTGCTTGTCCTGGCATAGACCTGTGGTGTACACTGTGGCCTGTTTCCTAAGTTGTTTTCACCTGCTTCCTTGAGCTGACCATCCCAACCATAAAGATTTCCCGGAGGTTTTCCTTTCTTTCTGAAACCTGTTAAGCCCTGCTCTTTTCCCAATTTTGAGAACTTATTATTGCCAGTTAGCATTAATTTCCTTCAATTAAAGGAAACCTGACATTAGAAAATCTGGACTTACACAAGGAAACACTGAACATTTTGCACATATTACATTAAAGATAGTGCTTGATTTTTTTTTGGTCGGGGGTGTGGTGGGACAACACATCTGCTTTGTAGGGTGAGGGATTCTCTACTGGTCTCTAGCCAACACAGTAGTTGTATGTTATATGTTCCTTTTAGACCCTGAAAAAAATTTATGGTAGATTTCCAGGACTTGTGATAACTCAGCCAACAGTATCTGACTTAAGTCTCTCCTTTTGTAGTTGGCACACTAGAACACTGCAGTGTAAATCTTCATATAATGTGCCGGGCTCACTGATAGGTTAGTCAGAATAAGAACCTTTATTATGAAAAATTTCAAACATTTTCAAAAATAATGAACCTCCCTACACACAGCACCCAGTTTTAGCAGTTAACAGTTCCTGGCCAGCTTTGTTACATCTGTCCCCACCTTCCCCAGGTATACTGTGAAACAAATTCTAGGTACCATAAATTATAAGGGGATATTTTCTTGAATAGACCCTCCATGATGAGTAAATCTCTGTCATTTAAATGAGATCTGGGGATGGGGCAGTATGATAGAAGCAAATTGTATATTGTTTGAATACTTAAAAGACATAAATATTCTTTTTCTTGCAGTCAAAGACACCAGCTTTGGTATTTGAATATATCAATAATACAGATTTTAAGGTGCGTATATACTTTTTTTTTTTTTTTTTTTTTGGCATGGGGTAATGGAGGATGGGGAGGTGACAATAAGTGCTGTTTATAGTCTAAACAGAAGGGGGCCAGGAAGGTCATTAGTAAGATGAGGAAATAACAATTAGATTCCTTATCATGTGAGTACAGGATTCAGAAAGTGGCTAGGGTTTTTGCATTTGATGAAATTACTCGCTACTCTGCCTTGCTTATTCTGGAAATAACTGGTGGACCGGGCCTAAGCTGTTGCCACATCTATAACAATCCTGTTTTAGACAGCATAGCTTTAGGTAGATGTTAACTTTGACTTCTGTAGGAATCTTAACATTGCAGATAGAAAGTGATAAATGGATACAGGGCTCCTGTGAAAAGAAGCAGTGCACTGACTCAGCTGCCAGATGAGTATGTTCATGCAGGCTGTCCACAGAGCCAGTGATAGGAAGAGCTAGTTAAGGATCACCGTGCTTTAGCACAGCTCTGCCCGGGGTTATTTACATTTTTAATGCATGTTAATATAGACTTTCATTTTTAATGCATGTTAATATAGACTTTAGATTATTTTTCTGAAAGTATCATTTAAAGCTATTTTTTTCATGAATTTGTTTTTATCATTGTTCAAACACTGCGGCCTTAACCTCTGATAAGGATTTGGAGGTGGAGGGACGGGGACATGATAGAACATAATTTGAAGACCAATATAAGAACAAAATAATGGTGTTGATTTCCAGGGGCATTTAGAGAACTTTGGTTCTCTAAATCATTTAGGTGATTATAGCTATCACTGAATAAAACGCTTGTGATTTTGTGATGAAAGTTAGAGGCAAAACCAAATTAGCAGTTAAGAGATGCTGGTATCAGGAGTGACACTTTTGGCTAAAAATAAAAGCACCTTGTCCTCACATTTAATTTTTCTTAGGTAATCACCCTAAAATTACTCAAAAATTAGGTTAATTGGTAAAGAATAAATAAAAGACTTGTGGCTTATAAAACAACAAGAAAGCAAGTTTTATGTATCTTAAAACTTCCCATGTGTAGCAGGTTTCCTTGCTAATGTCTGTTGACTCCTTAAGAGTGACTCAATAGTGAGCTCTTAAGTGGGATGTACATTTTTTCACTAGCTTTCATAGCGGTGCTTAGGGTGGGGTACTGTGCTGACATACATAGCTGATCACATTTTTACCATGAATGACAAGTTTATCAAGGTGTAACAAGTGGGAATGTGTGTGTGTTTCTTAGAGATGGGCTTTAATGAAACCAAAACATTTTCCTGATGCAGAAGTTTAAAAGCTGGTTTAATGGAACTTCATAGTGGAGTCCCTAAGTTTTAAATGTTTGTGCTTCATTCTAGTCATATACATAAAATTTTACCTAAGACTTTTGTTTCATAAATTGACAGCTGCCCTCTTGATATAATAATACGCTGAAAATCAGTTAACAGGAATTTTTTTAAAAAGATTTATTTATGCATACAAGAACTGGGGTGTACGCCAGAGGTGAGAGGGTGAGAGGATTCATCAGAGACAGAGTGGGGAGCAGAGCAGGCGGACTGACTGAAAGACACTGCTGAGGGGAGCAGTGGGTGAGACAGGAGAAGTTTGCTGCCCCGTGTGGGTTAGCTCCTTGGCTGGGGATCGAACTTGTGCTGCAGTGGCTGGCAATACCTTGATAGCGCTGTGTCTTTAACCCCTCTGCCACCAGGAGGCTCAACGGGAATTTTTAATTCCCTAGAGAAATCTTATTTCTCTCTGCTTTTAAACCTCAAAGGGTATGGTTTGACAGTACATATTTTGTAGTAACTTCTTTTTAAAGGGTCGTTGGAAATTGATATTTTGGAGGGGCTGGCATATCTGAAACTATCTTGATTTTATCTTCCCAATTTATTTTTCATGGAATAGAATTCTGGGTGGTAATTAAGAATTTTCCCAGAATTTTGAAGAGTCTGTCATTCTGGCATCATCTTATGTGATCACTTTCTGTGTTTGTTTTCTCTTCTGAAAGCTTTTAGGATTTTCTCTTCCTCCTCCTGAAATTTCACAGAATTGTGCCTTTGTATATGTCACTTTCATCTTCTGGTCTGGACACTTGCTGGGCTTTTTCAGTCTAGAAACTCATGTCCTTCCGTTTGGGGGGAAGTATTTTTAATGTTCTTTGATTTTCTTCCCTTTCTTTTTTGTTCTCACTTTCTAGAACTCATTCTAATGTTAGATATCATATCTTAGAGCTCCACTTTGTTCTCTGAACTCTTAAAAATAGTATTCTGTTCTTCTGTGTTTTATGTAATATCTTCTGTTTTCCCGCTGAGAATTTTTTTTGACCATTGTTTTCTTCATGCCTTTTCTGTTTTTCTTCCAAATACCTTTTTTGTGTGTTTTTGTCTATTACAGTTGTCTGAAATGTCCTGGTTTTTGAATGTTGCTCTTCTTTGAGAGTGATGCTCTAAAGTGCAGATTGCCATGTAAGTGCATTAACTTGCACTTAATTCCCCCGTAAATGAGTTTTAAACTTATTTTCCTGTATTCGGCTCAGTCTGTTTACCCTTTTTCTTTGATACCTGGAGTCAGCATTCCTGAGCCTTTTACAGCTAGCTCTTCAATTTGAAGCTTTTTGCTGCTAGACCCTTCCACCGTTGGCAGAATTGTCAGCTTTTTTTTGGTCTGCTAAGTCAGTTGGACACCTGGCTTCTAGCTTCTCATGTTGACTCTTCCATTCTCTTGCATCTTGTGAGTTAATCCTCTCTCCCACTCCTTTCACTGTTATTTTAGAGAAACTTTGGGAAGAGGCACCCAAAAAAAAATGTTTTATCTACCTTGTTTAACTGGAAGTCTCCTTTGAATATTAAAAATGTTCATGCTATTTTAGTGGGCTGAAATTGTTAAATTTTCAGGTAGAAATCTTTTTCAGATATTAGAACATGGCAGTTGCTTAGGTTCTTACTGTCCTTCAGACTTCTCATTTTCTTCTCTGTCCATCTTTTTTTTTTTTTTTTAAGATTATTTATTTATACGAGCACTGGGTACAGTCAGAAGCGCGGGAGGGTGAGAGAATTCACCAGAGCCAGAGCAGGGAGCAGAACAGGCAGACTGACGAAGAAGTACACTGCTGAGGGGATCAGCAGGCAGCGGGTGAGGTCTGTGCGCCATGTGGGAGCAGCCAGGGATTGAACCGGCGCTGCAGAGGCTGCGGGCAGCTTTGCAGCCCAGCGATCAACCGCTGCGCCACCGAGGGAGGCCCTCTCTGTTCATCTTACTTAGAAAACTTTGGTTTGGGGTTTTTTTTTTTCCTTCTCATTTTACTGTTAATTGTATTAATAATAGATTTTAAGCTATCGCTCAGTGGAACTCTGTCCCAGGTTTAATATCAGGGGTGAATCACCAGTGATAAAGCCCACAACCCATTCTTTTTAATATTTTTTATTGATACAATTGATAATAGGGTACAAATTTACCAATCTCATATCCAACCATCAATTTTAGCTCACACCATGTTTTCCATTTGGAACATGAATTTTACCCAAATATAATTAAGTATCCCTCAGAGTGTTTTCTTCATTTCGAGTCAGTCCTGAAAGGTGATCGCCGTCATTTCACTACATTTTCCTTTTAAAACATACTGTAAGTTAAATGTCTTTCCTGATTTTTCTATCTTTTCTTGAGTGTATTTGGATAATATTTGCCCACTTTCCATTTTTTTGTTTTAATATTGTTAGACTTCTCTGAGGACTTAATTTTGTCTGTAATTTTGCTTTCCTTTACATTTTATCATTATTTTACTTTTACTGTTATTTCTCTTTTTTGAAGAAATAGCTGTCTTGCTAGAAATCTCTTATTAATACTTTTCAGAGAGCCAGCTTTTAGTTTTATTGCTCAGATGTTGTTGTTTTCTCTCTTAAATATTTTCTTCATTCAACCTCCTTGAGGTTTTTACTGGTTTTCCCCCATAACTTCTTGAGTAGAAGTCAGCTCAAGATTTGTTTGTTTCTTTCTTGGTTGTTGATAAATGTACTTTTAAGTCTGTGTAACCTGTGCAGCATTTTGGCTACAATCCATGGTTATGGAGCTCACTTCTAGCTAGTTTGTAAATTAGAAGTACAAATTCCAAGCTTGTGGATTTGAGTTTTCCTTCCCAAACTTTGCAGTTTGGAATTTTTTAAATCTACTGAAAATTGGAAAAAGAAGATTTACTAGTTGTTTCTCTCTCTCTCCCTTTTTTCTCTATTTTGCTTGGTCATCTTAAAGTAGGTTGTAGACATTCCATTCTGATACTTCACCCCTAAAAGTACTGGCACTGGAATTAAGACATTTTCTTACATAACCACAATATAATTATTGTTATTATTATTATGCTTCCGAGTATTAACTTCTATTAAGTAATGTCGTATACGATGTTGTCTGTATTCAAAATTTTCTCAGTAATTAGCTTCCCAGTACTGTCCTTCATAACTATGTTTATAAATATATGATTCAGGATCCTTTTAGGTTTTCTGTGTTGATTCCTAATTTGGTTGCACTGCGTCTGGAGAACATGGTCTTTGTGATGTTGATTATTTGGAATTTGTTGATGGCTGCATGGTAATACTTAGAACAAAAGACAAAACTCCAGAAAAGCCAGTCTCTAAAAGTTGGAGTGTGAAGATTTACAGAAGGTACCCAAACTCAAAAGTCTCCAGGCAACTAAGATAGCATTTTTAGGTAAAGAAAAAGTTTCTATTGAAACATGCTTCTCAGTGTTGTATGCCTTTGGAAGAGTGTCAATAAAAATGTGAATGTACATAATAAGTAAAATATATCATTAGATATATTAAAAACGATGGTAGGCCTTTATTGGTCTATGGAGAATGTCTACATCTCAACATAAAGGTAGGCTTTGACTAGCTGCTGTCTTGAGGCCATGTTTACGCTGTTTGAGATTGATGTGGAGCAGATGAGTTAACAGAATAGTTTACTTATTCAGGTGAACAAATTTTATTATTGTTATAAGTCATTGATATATTTGTCATTTGCTTGTAAGACTTAAATGACATTTTTAAGTCATTTGTAGTAATACAGATTTGCTTGATTATCAGTTCCTTAGATTTCTAAAAATGTTGGTCTTGGTTTCATTCTGGATTTTGAAGTTACAAGTTAACAGTTCTGAAACTAGTAACTACTATATTAAATAGCTTTTAATTTTCACTTTATATCCCATTCCCCCAGTTTTTTCTTCTCCCTGTGTGGGGACCCCTGGGGTTTCTGGGCATCGACTGAGTTGTGTATGTCAGGGAATGTGCAGATTTTGTGCGCAGGGTGAGAGTTTGCTGTTGATGATTCCCACATCTAGCTGGGAACCTTCGTAAAGTGTGGGATGAGAAATGGGATGAGGCCTTGGGCTCTCGTGATCATGACACAGCTGAGCAAAAGTTAAGGTCTAAGGACCTGTGCATGTTCAGAAGTGAGGTCCACTTGTGACCATCCTCTGACTGTTGGTTTTAGACCCAAAGAGTCCCTGAGTCTGTGGATCAAATTGCATTTTTTTGGTCATTCTTTTCCTCAGACTCTCTGAAGTTAATTAAAAGTCCCAGGAAATAGCAACCAGGCCCTCAGGGGGTAATCCTAGGGTGGAACTGATTTCTAGGGAAATGCCAAGGCACTTGAGGCTTTGGAGCCAAAAGATGATTGGTGAATAGTTTCTTCCTCAGTGCTTTTATCTTCCGGGAAGCATAGGCTTGTTTTGTTTCTGATAAGTCATTTATGAAAATGTAAGCAAAGCTAACTTCCTGCCAACATTTTGCAGTTCGTTGGTAGATAATGTTCTCCACAGAGCTGGTTAAGAATGGAGGAAAGTACGGTTCTTGTGAAGTTTCCCTTTCTAATTTGTCACGGACGCTTAGTTCTTCTTTCTGTTTATCAGGAGATGGTTTTTATTTTGTTCCAGTGAGGTGAATGTCATCAGAGACAGATCTTCATTGACTCTCTTCTGTGCACAGACAGAATGAGCATACGCCGTGTGGGGTACATAAAGCTAATGCTTTTCTGTCTTGTAAGTTAGGACTCTGATTATGGGTCGAGTTCTTTGGTGGACCCCTTGACAGGTTGGAGGGAGGGAAATTTCAGAATCTTGGAATCATCACAGTAGTGACTACCACCTGCCATGGCCCCTGTTTTTCCCCTTTGTGTATGTCTCCCTATGCAGGGATGCTGGCCTGTGATTATTGGGGTGAGGGCAAAGTGAAGCAGCCCATTGTTCCCCACAGAAGAAGAAAGTATCTTGAGAACTTGAGGTCCCTGCCCAGTACTTGAGTAAGGAATGTTAACCCTGGGGTCCCTGCTGCTGTCAGTTTCCAAATGGACAATAAACAGTGTGGGGGTTCAGAGAAAGAGCTCTGTGGCTCTAAGATAGGGTTTGACTCTTAAGGGGCAGGGGCAGGGTATTCCAGGTTTGGGAGGAAGGCAGGGACATTGGAGAAGGAAGAAGGGAGGTGGCAGACACGGGCTTATATGGTTGGAGGGATATCTCCGAGGGGACTGCCTGGAGACAGCTGTGGGAGTTGGAGACCAGACTGTGGACCCTGGTGAGTCCTGAATATTAGGCGCAGGTGGTTAAACATTACAGATGTTAAACATACACAGCTGCTTGGTACAGATACCACACTATATGAGAAAAAGTCCAGATAATAAAATGGCCCATATTGGTTTTCTGGAAATAAAATACTGCAGCCGTCTGAGGGTTAGAAGAAAATGCTCCTTTCACTTTCATGGTCTATTTACTGACTTGAGGTTTGACTTGGCAGAGTCTCTAGGAGTGATTTTGTTAACTCTCAGAGGAGAAGCTGATTTGATGTCCAAAGAGATGGTATCTTTGGCTGTACACACAGGTTGTTCGTGTGCTAGCTGAAAGGCCTTCCTGCTATGCAGAGCTGGGGGAAAACAAACAGCTTGGCTTTATGTGATCGATCTTTCCTGAGAAGTGTTGGCATATTTGTACCTTTGTGCCTGAATGTGGTTCATTGCCAACCAGGGTCAGCCCCCGGTGGTGGAACAGATCCAAGGCACCTCCAGTGTGGCCTCTGTTCTGTGTGCTTTCGTTCTCCATAGTGCCCTGAGCTGGCCACTGTCTGAGCTTGATGAAACCAGACATTCTGAACTGAAGGGAGAAATAACTTGAAAGAGGACATTTCAGAAAGAAACTAAGTCCCAGTCTTCTTTTAAATTTGTATAAGGTTTGATTATTGGCAAATTTGTCATTTTTGAACATGTATATTACATGGATCAAAAGTATAAGATTAGGCATGAAGTGAAAAGTGTTCTTCTGTGTCCTCGCTATCCACCACCACCACCCCCATCCCCTGCACACACTTATACATGAACCATTTTTTACTAATCTCTTTTATATCATTCCTGGTAGATACAAAGAAATGTGAACATGTAGTTTTACATACCCCCTTTTGCACAGACACAAGTGGTGTTGTATGCTCCTTGGGGAGATTCTCTATACTGTGCGAATCTTCCCATAAAGGAAGGAATGAAATAAGTTAATAAAGGTGTGATGATTAACATTTTAGAAAGTGTTGATTGGATTGATGGGGGGGAAGATTTACTTGGAATTGGTTATCAAAAATAATAGTATAGGGCCTCCCCGATGGTGCAGCGGTTGAGGGCTGGGCTGCGAAGCTGCCCGCAGCCTCTGCAGTGCCGGTTCAATCCCCGGCTGCCGGGCGAGGGTCCCACATGGCGCGCAGACCTCTCCTGCCGCCTGCTGCTCCCCTCAGCAGTGTACTTTGTCACTCTGCCTGTTCTGCTCCCTGCTCTGGCTCTGGTGAGTTCTCTCACCCTCCTGCGCTTCTGATATACCCAGTGCCTGTATGTATGTATGTATGTATGTATGTATGTATGTATGTATGTATGTATAAATAAATCTTAAAAATAAATAAGATTTATTTAAAAAAATAGTATAGTTCTAGTTCTGCCAAGAGTTTATGATGGTTTTAATGAACCGAATGTGTAAGTGATATTCTGCCTCTTATAAATTTTTTAAATTTTCTTTCATTTGTGTGAATTTCGCTGGCAGTCATTTTCAGTTCCACTGCCTGTTCCTTTTTTTTTTCTTTTCTTTTTTAGCATCTCATTCCACTACTATTTTCTTTACCCTAAAGTTCCATCTATTGTTGCCTGTGAAGTGTTCTATTTTCCCAGCCTGGAATTGGTTTTGGAAAAAATGAAGTGTATAAATGTTTCAAGCTTCTTACCATCTCCAAAACTCTAACAGTTCATTTTCCTTGTTTCTTTCATGAACAGGCCGACTTCCTTACTACTGTTTTACCCACATGGGCTAATGCAGTTCAGGTTTTGCTGTCCTCTCAGAACTCATCTCAATAAAGCTGCATGTAATACTGCAGTGGGGCTGGTTAGTTTGAAGTGCAGTTGGCCTGAGGACAGTTGGGCAACTTGGACTCCATAATAATATAATAGTGGGCTTGAAATCATGGAGCATTAAAAAAGTTTTTGAAGGTTCAAGTTGACTTAAATGTTTTTTCCCTTAGAATTCTTTATTTTTTTTTTCCCTTCCAAACACTGAAGTATTACACTATAGTCGTTAGTCTTGTCCCCATTTGTT